CATAATACTTTTTTCATAAATATGACAAAACGGATTTTTTCCGATATTTCAAAAAACTCCATTCCACCCTTCTCTGATGTGATGATTTTTTGAAAAATGAGCTTCATTGGATTGATTCGGAACACCGGGTCTTCAATAGTATCGATACTTTTCAAGTTAGAAGAAAGAATGAATCCTCCGATTTCCTGGATGACATAATCGATATTTCTGTAAATTAAATAGAATGCAAACCCTTTCGATACTAATCGAACCTTACTCTTACTCTATTTATTTTCTTTTAGTATCTCATCAAAATTTACATTATTTTTTATAAGTTTATTGAAGAAGTTTTATTTACTCAATAAATTTCCCTCTCTTTTTTTGTTTGTCCGCTACTTATTATATTATACGTAAAAAAAGTTCTGATAAATCTGGAAAAAATCGAAACTAAGAATAGGAACCTTTGACGAACGGGATCAAGAATCATTATTATTTCGACACAAGAAAAGGCATTTTCCACACCCCCTTCTTGTGTCGAAGACTAGTAAGACGAAGAATCCCTTCTAGAATTTTTTTTCCCAGCATTTATCCGTTTTTATTCCCCGCTTACTTATGTCTAGTATCTAGTCGAATTTGATTCTCGTCGAATAAAAAACGATTGGTGTATTTTATGACATTTAAATCTGGAAATAGTAACACAGTCGCACCGCCCCAATTTGGATTAAAAAAACAAAGAAAGGGGAAAGTAAAATAGTATTCTTTACAATCTACATACTCTATGACTAGGAACACGGTACAAGGAATTCCCGGCATCTAGTAGAAAAAGAATATAAACAAGCAAAAGTTTTTCTTTCATAATTCAATTTTTTGACCATACATAATCGCCAACGAGAATTTTTACGAACTTGATGTTGATAAATCCGCGAATCTAGAAATTCATTTCGGACAATTGAACCTTCTCGAACTGTTTCTTTTTAAGAACCAAAAATATTTGTGCCAAAATAACAGATGCCAAGAAGAACAAAAGACCTTGGACACGTAATGGATCTTGAAGTACTATTTCTGCATCTCCCTGACCAAATCCGCCCACATTCGGATTACTTGTTAATGGTTGATCAAATTTGATAGATTCGCCCTCTGAAACAAGAAGTTCGGGGCCCTGGAGGGATACTATCAACTACTTGACGTCCATCCGACGCATCTGCTATGGTTATTTCATACCCTCCCTTTCCTTTTCGTACGATTTTGCTTACTATACCCGCTGCTGTAGCATTATAAACTGTATTGTTACTCTTGCTCCCGTCGGGATAAATCTGACCCCTTCCCCTGTTTCCGCCTACGTATATAGGATATTTTAAGAAGTGAACATCTTTCTTCGTAGCGGGGTCTGGGGAAAGAATAGGAAAGGTGATTTCACTATATTTCTGACCAGGAACGGGGCCTATCACAAGAATATTTTTTTTATTGGGGCGATAGCTCTGAAAAGATAGATTGCCTATCTTTTCTTTCATCTCGGGAGAAATACGATCGGGAGGCGCTAGTTCAAACCCCTCAGGTAAAATTAGAACAGCCCCCACATTCAAAGCCCCCCTTTTACCATTAGCAAGAACTTGCTTCAGTTGCATATCATAAGGAATTCGAACAACTGCTTCAAATACAGTATCCGGAAGTACCGCTTGTGGAACTTCAATATCCACGGGCTTATTAGCTAAATGGCAATTGGCACATACAATACGCCCCGTCGCTTCTCGTGGATTTTCATAACCCTGCTGTGCAAAAATGGGATATGCGCTTGAAATGGATGCCCGAGTTATGATATATATCATGAGCGATACGGAAATGGATCGAGTAACCTGTTCCTTTATCCAAGAAAAAGTATTTCTAGTTTGCATGGTCCAATCATTGATCGCGAAAATTTCTACAATAAATTGGGGTAGGTCGCTAAGGCCAGATGCGGGATCAGTAGTCTTTGGTTTAGACGTGTTAGCATTTCTCGGTATTGAGTAACTGGCCATTGCTATGCCTTCGAAGCCCCCGCGAATGGCTTTGTAGCAGAAGTTGAAGAAAGAAGTTTGACACTTCCTTTGAAACCACCCGTAGCTGTATCTAGAGTAGTTTGTTGTTGTCTGCTTCACTCACAGCTGTTGCGGCTTCAACGAGTCTGTTTCAACCATCAACCAACGTGTCTCTTTCTTTCTTTTTGTTGTTGTCGTCTCTTCCCGAAGTCTCTAACTAACCTACTAGACTCCTTGTGCGTATCTTCGTGGGAGCGCTCTGTCTTAGTAGTTTTCACTGCTGCTTCCCTTCCCGCGATAGGGACAATGGTGGTTGTAGTATTAGAGAATGGGGCTGCTTCAACCAGTCCGTTCGGGGGGAGGAGAAGGGGACCTCGAAACGACCCCAGTGGTAGTTCTCGGAAAGAAGACCCGAGTTCCGCGCTATAGCTCTCGGGCAATCCTATCATCTCCGGCGGGCGGCCTCAATAGCGGCTGGATCTACAGCCAAGTTCTTCATTTCCCTTGAACTTTCATTTCGCTATTTAAGAACGCGAGGGAACCTTAACGGCGAGGGACCCCATTGACCTACTGCGACGCTTGCCATACAGAGGTCCTGTTTTCTTTCTTTCCCCTTCTCAGGATCCCCCTCCCATCCGAAAAGCGCAGTTTGATTCACACCGAAAAAAGAAGTCAAGAAGTACAACATCACCCAGTCATGATAAGGCTTCAGCAAAGGCTGATGCACATAGTTTTTCCAAAAGAGTTGACCCCGGCGTGAAACCAGTTGGTTCCGCCAAGCCCCAAGGTTATTGAGAAAGTGAAGTTGGTGTAACTTCAAAGTGTCCATCATCCTCTTAAACGTAAACAAATCACTCATTTCTACCCTTATCATTTCACTTATAGCTTAAAGATTGAAGATTATGGAACAGGGCCCGTGCTTGCATATTTTAGGTGACCTAGCCCTACAAGCTGGCACTACGAAGTCGAGAGCTACAGATCAACAAACCTCTGCCCGCTGTCCGTGACCCGATCTCTGGTCAAAGGATGTGTCGTAGTGAATACTCTTATCTACCTTGAAGTGATTCATCCCTAAAATGGGAATGCAATCCTGCCCGTACCATTTCCCTTAATAGGTCTACTCCACATCACCAGTCTGACATCTAGATTGTCGATGATCACAAGATGTTCAACATCCTAATATTCATTATGACTGGTACGGTCCGATCACAAACTAAAAGAAAATGGCTCGTGCTTGATTCAGAAAAAAAGTGATTCCCCATCGAAAAGGCAAACATGCTAGCGTTCTAGTCCTCTCACAGGGGTTGACCCATTGAGGCTTTCCTCTTCGGTTTTTCATAATCAGAAGCCTTCAGCCAGGTAAAAGAACTTCCATCCATTTTAACAGCTCTTGGGGAAAGAATGACAAGCCCAAAAAAGCTTCTTTTTTCATATCCAATTGAAAGCGTTTTCCGCGGAATGTCTATTCACAGTTACATAAACAAATAGATCGATACAAGAATGGCTCGCAGAAGAGAGAATGTTGGCTCTTACTGGAACTTCAAAACAGCCTATTTCATACTCTTTGAACCCTGCTGTGAGAGGCAGATACCTTGTCTTAAAAGCCACGGGAATTGCGCCATAGAGGAAGAATGTTTGGTTGTGTAAAAGGTAGATGAGTTTGGGAGTTCTGCCAGTGGTAATTCCGGAAACAGAGGAGAAAGCCAAGAATAGGAGATGCTGAGGAAGCAAGCCAGAGGCTCACTAGATCACTGCTTGGAACCTATGTCAGAGGCTCGTTGAGACCTCTTAGAAAGAAGGCTTAGGCTGACTGGTAGAAGGAAGCTGAACGATTACTAGCTGACTGATGAAAAACCTACTACTTGTGCGAATGACATATGGGCTTCGCGCTCTAAGGCCGCTCTTTTGGTCATTTTGAAAAGAGAAGGATAGTCAAGCATACGTACATCAGTGCACACGAAGGCAATATCGATGTGTCAAACTAAGCCGTGGCAAGACTAGGACGACGTTCAGATTAGGCTTCTGCTCGGCGAGTTAGTTGCTTCAATCAATCAATACGTACTGAATATCTTGATCGGTACAGGAGCGATTCCCTCTCATGCGTTAGCTGGTCTGGAGAAAGCCCGGGAGAAGTAGAAACGGGCACGGCTACGGCCGGAGATAAAGATCCAATAGCCTCCACTCAGGCCCAAACTCCTTAGCTTAGAGAATGCCACGTAGAGAACCATCGGCCACATAACACTTATATATTCCACCCGATGAGACTAATGCTCTCCCTCGAAACCAAGCTGCTCAAACTTATGCTAGCTAGGCTGTGAACACCTAAGGGCTAGATAGCAATCAAAGCCTTATACCCTCAACCAATAGAAATGCTGGAAATCACTTTCGAAGTGATTAGAGAGTTCCTACGAAGAGAGAAAACATCATCATCGATAAGCTGAGCTCGACCCGCATAAGCTGCATTTCCATGTTAGAGCAGCTTTCCACTTTGCTTGTGCGTAGGGATGCTTTTGTGAGAGAAGTGCTACTCCCTTTTGGCGCGGGTTTGGATCAAAAGAATAGACTGCTGAACCTAGTGATGACTACTTTATGCAACTACTCGCGATAAAGCCTTAAAGCTAGCTCTCACTAACAAAGCCAGTTCAATCTCTATTAGCCCAGTAAGTATACGAAAAACCATTACTTGACCTTTACTAAATGAAATCTTTCACCACCAAACTCTGAAACTTTTCTTATTCCTGCTTTGTCTTAGTGCTTGACTTGCCTTCTTAATTGTCTCTTAATAAGAAAAAAGGAAAGAAGAAGCTGCTAGCACCAGCAATTCTGAAATCTTTGTATCAGTTAGAATGCCAGTATCCGCAGTTTCAATGGGAGAATGTCAGTGAGTGGTTTAACCGGAACAAGTAGTTTCAGCAACAGTAGACCCAGCATTTAGAGAGCGGCATAAAGACCACGGAACACTAACACAAGATCAATCCATATTCGAAGTTCATGCGCAAAAGAACC